ATTTTCATAGCCAAAAAAAAAAAAAAAACCTATGGCAGGACGTAGCTCATTAAACAATAATGTCACTACATAACTTATACATTAATAATATTTATACCTTAATAAGTGTATACTAAAAATTATCGACACAAAAAAAGTAAAAGTTTAAACAATATTACTAAAATAATATAATTTAAAATAAATACCAATGTATCGGATAGAGTGATCTCATTAATTGACCGTTATCATTTTCAACAACATTTCTACATTAAAAACGAATACATACAATATTAAATTCGGTACATACATTTCGGGAGGCGCACTTGGATTTTCGCGGAACACGCTTCGTGTCGGCGGACACGCTTTTCTTGGTCCAGAGCTGATTGTTATGTCCGTTACGATCGCGAATCACGAATTGAGATCGAATTAGAATCCAGAACGGATTATGTTTCATCAACGTTACACCGTCCGTGATTATTGGGCGTCTAGTATATATATATAATTCTTGTCTTTAAATACAAATTGTATAGGATTATGATTAATAATTAAAAGGCCAGAATATTTATTTTTGCATTCCCTTTGGAATACTGTGTAGATTTTAAAATTGTCGATTAGTAGCTCTTTGAGCCTTTTCCGTTTGAAAATAAGATATTGAGCATGTGTATTTTAGTGCCTATCTTGTTTTATATCTTGAGTGTAACTAGGATTGTATCGATTTTATGTGAATTATGGTTTTTTGTTTAGAATGTTTTTCTCATCGAGTTGAACTTTTCTACTGTGGTTCTAAAAAAAGTTCTAGAGTATTTGCAAATTATAAGTATAAGGGGCGGCCGGTGTGAATTCTGAAATACCCCCAACACATAAAAAAAATTTTTTTAGATTCCAAAATCTAAATGTACATTAAATATTACAACCCGCAGCTTTACTTAATCCTACATTATCAGATATCACAATTTCAAGTAATTTGACATGGAATATATAATTAAGTACCTAATATGACGAACTAATTGGAAACATTTCCTAAAGGAAATGGAATATCTATTGCTTGCATAAAAACTTTCATTTTGAAATCACATTACAGATCATTGTCATAAACAGTCGAGTCGATGAAGGCAAAAGCAGTAAGGTTCTTCCGTGAGACACGGTATATTGTATGTATAAGTGTATAGTTACCATGGACATAATATAGAACATCTATAATATTACGGTTATCGTTCTCGCATTGTTTATTTACCTGACATCAGGGGTGGAGTGGCCAGTCTGAAGAAGATGGGTACATTTAAAAGTATAATAAAAAAGAGCTTATACTTTTTACGTGAGCTGCAGACACTGTTGTAGATGAGAGATTAGAGGGGTAGAATACATAATTAACCATTATTAAAGAAAAAAGATTCGGAGTAAAATTCGGTAAGGCATAATTTGAAATGCCATAGTTTTTACCATTTTTGTAAAAATTTGACCCTTAAACGCTTTCAAACAAAAAACTAACGCATTAAAAATAAATTTATTTTTTAAATAACTAAGTACCTTATAGAAGAATAGACCTTTTATAAAAATATTTTGTTCTTTGTGGAGGTCATTTTAGCATTCCCGACAGTTGAAAAATCTGAAAATATACGTATAAAACGTGGAAAAACGGGAATACATTTAGAAATATAATGTCCATGATTACGATTTTCAGCCTGCAATTGTTAAAAATCAAGGCATTTATAACATGATAAGTTTAATTTTTAAAATGTTTCTCATGAAAATATAATATTTTAGATCAGTCCTTTGCAGTAGAGTAGAAAATTGTATACATTTAAGACACGAGTAAGTTGGGTGCTACCACCTCACTGCATTTGAGCGGTATCATAGTAAAGTTAAAGAAAATTGTAGCACCACAGTCGAAAAGACTGCAAACATACTAAGTGGATCGCAATGAAGAGATTTCGTGCAACATTAACGGACTTACATGCCGCAACTAAAAAAGCGATATAAATTGAGATAAATAAATAAATAATATAAAAATATGATAAATAAAAAATTGAGTGGTTGGATTCAATCGAAGACGACATTTATTTGATGTATGACCATACGATAATATGATAATGCCTAATTACGTACTAACTTGAAGTGTATTTTAATAAATTTTGTAAATATGGAGAGATAAGATAACTAAATTCAATTACACGTCTCTACACAGCCGATTAAAGGGGTCCACCGGTTAACAATTGTTCAGTTTCCCTGCTAACGTCTGATTCCATTTCAAACGTTTGCGGTCAAAATAAGAATATTGAAAAACTGTAATACTAACGGTCAACCACACATATTCAACATGTACAAAATCGTATTTCTCGTGGCAGTGTTCGCCTTTGCGATTCAAGGAGCATTCAGCGTCCCCGCGACCGACAGTAGCATGGTAAATATTGCGATATTATCATTATATCATTAAATTGTTCCCAATTCTGTATTCAACCAAGAATCTGGTTAAAAATTTAGTGTGCATTTTTCGAAAAAAAAAAAAAATGTAATAAAAAATAATGTAAAATGTAAAATGTAAAAAAAAATGTATAGTTGGTTTTCAAGAACGGTTTTTTTTAATTTTTCGGATAGTTTTTTATATGACTGGGGAAACTAGAGAAATTGATGTTTNGTATTTTTTGGATAACTAAATATTAAAAAATCAAGAGTTAATAAAAAAAAAATAGGTTTTTTTTTTTGTTTGATATCGAGCTGTATATTGAACAAAATACAAAATCCCCATGATATTTTTTTTAAAAACTGTATTGAGCAAGTTTTATGTACTCTGCGTAAGCTTTGTTTTTGCACGTTACCCGGTATACTATGACTGAGACAGCTAGTAGATGCGGGAATGAATTGATCTGAGTATTAAATATTTTTTTTCAAGACCTTTTGCTATCAAAAAATAAATGTGGTAAATTTCTTTCTGCTTGTAGTTGGCGAAATGTCGTAAACTAAAAATTTATTGCAAATACCTACCCATCGCAGTGGATTTAGATGGTGCACCGGCCGCTATCGATGAACAATCCGCGGGTCAAGATATCGAGCTTCCTTTAAATGCTGAACCGGCCGCTATCGATGAACAATCGGCGGGACAAGATATCGATCTGCCTTTAAAAGCTACACCGGCTGCTATCGAAAAACAAACGGCGGGACAAGATATCGAGCTTCCTTTAAATGCTGATCCAGCCGTTATTCAAGAACAAACGGCGGGAAAAGCGATCGAAATCCCTGTATAAATGAACCAAAACACAAAATTATTTTATACGCATTTTAATTATCTATCATATATAATTATATATCATTTATATATCAGTGGTCAGCAACCTTTTTAGACTCCCGGGCCACATTCATAAATTTAAAAAAGTTCGCGGGCCAGACAAAAATAAAAATTTTGTATTCCAAATTATTTACTAAGAAAAAAAATAACTGTTTAAAACTTTAAAATAATAGATTAATACAACATAAAAGTAAAATAACAGTTTTTAATAACATAATTATATTATAAAAGTATGGAAATTACAATTGCTTAATAGGCTTAATGTGATTTTTGAACAATATTCAACAATGATATAGATTCTATATCATAAATGTGCTAATTTTTATTATTATATATAATATTTGTCCTTTTTAAGTCGACAATATAATATTATTCGTATAGTTAATATTTTATTCATTTTTTTTTTTTTTTCAGAAACATCAAAACACTTGCGACTAATAATTTTCCATAACAATCTTTATTATAAATATAGTATTTATAATTATTATATTTATTCTTTTCTTTTTTAATAAAATAAACATATTCATTACAAGAATATTGCAGTCGTATTTCAAAGAAAAAAAATTGATTATTGAAATGTGTAGATAAATTAGCACACAGATGCAATGGATAAAACAGATATGATATGAAAACATGATAAGTTAATTATGTAATTGACTATTCTCGAACGGTCCGTCGTCGATTAAATGTCGAGAATTGAATGAATAATATCACTCAATTGATTAATGTTAATGTTAATGTTGTTAATGTTCATTTAGATCTTATATTGGCATTACGGGAAATTAGATTCAGCCCAGCAGTTTAACCAGAGTGTCATGTTATTGGCCGTTAAATGTATTAAAGGAATAAAAGACATTATAGTTTTTTTTTATTAGCACAAGTCAATGGTATATGATAATTATAAAATACTGAATATTACTAAATAAAAATGATAATTCTAAATAACATTAATAAATTATACTCAACAAAAATAATTGTAATAATAATTAATAATTAAAATAAATAAAAGGACTAGTAACAAAGAATATGAAACAATACTAATTAATACTAAAAAAAATACTTACCATAACTAAATACAAATAACGATAATTCTAAATAATACTAACAATAGTTTTACTAAATAAAAATAATGATAATGATATATTAAAATAAATTAATGATTATAATAATACTAATGCTAAATAATAAAACGCCTAAATTAAAATAATTGTATAATTATACAACAATATAAACTGAACATTAAAAATAATAACAAATAAAACCAAATTATATTAATAATAGTTATAATGTATAATATACTAGATTATACTTAATAATACTGTTTACAACTTAATAAAATAAATATTAATAATAATATTGAATAAAAAAAGAAATTATAATAATAATAATTATACTATAAAATATACTAAATTACACTTAATAAAAATAATTATAATAATAATCAAACTAAATAATAATATTAATGATATTAATAAATACTAAAAAATACTTGCAATTACTAAATCATACTAATTAAGAATAACTACGATGATAAATACTAAACAATACTAATAATAATTAAGTCACTACTTAATAGTGGTGCCATGCCTTCCTGGACGTTTTATGTTGATTCCGCCACTCAGAAACATTTTTGCATGTTGTCATATTGTTGCATATTATTTGGACTTCAGAAACGAACTTTAGTCGTCGCTGTACAGATTGTCCAAATGTTTTAAAAGGCGGGCTTTTGCTAGATTCATTACTTATATTTTCTGGTATTGCGGTAACTATCTTGACTTCCTCCTAAAACAACATATGTTAAATCGCAACGAACATGACCTAAATTATATTGTCTAATTGGTATAGGTTTTTTGATTGGAATAGCTTTGTCATCTGTAACTACTCTATTTAATTATCTTTTTGTAAACCAATCAACAGCTACTCATTTCCTTTCGCACGTTGGTATAGATTTAAATCTTCAAACAACAGTTTTAAAACGAGACCAACTACCATTGTTTCAATCACCTATTGTAAAGAGGGTTTATTCCAAACATCGAGACATCGAGACATATTGCCTTCCAACCCTTGTTTCGGACGACATTTATATTAGTAGTAGATCATTGATGAATTATAAAACTTTACGTCACATTCAAATTTAGTAAAATCTAATTGGAATATTGGTATAGGTAAATGATTTTCTTCGAAATGACCGAAATCGTCCGAGCAATAAAGTTCCTCTGTTTGGACCTAATCAATTGGAAATAGAATCATTAAAACTGCTGAATTACTCATTGATACTATCGATATTATCTGAAATAGAAAAAAATGTACTCTGCAATAGACTTTTATGGGAAAAGAAGGTGTTTATAACTATGTGTAATAATCATATTTTTATCTATAATGGCATTATTTATCTTATAATTTATTGTTTTTTGGTAAACACCAATATAAATATGAGACCGATTTTTAATATTATTCAGCAGTATACTGTCTAATTATATATGTCTAATAAATAATTTTACTATCATATACATAAGCACAGCGTTACTTTCTTTTTTAATGGGGAATTTTTTTAAATTCACAATTAACTGAATTTTTGAAACTTGTTATAGACACGTCTCACCTAAACTCAAACTCAAACTATAGTCAAATATTCTTTTGAATACCGCAATCGAGTAAACTGCGATATATCTAGAATATCTAGAAAATACAGAAACCGAAATATAATAACTTCTATGAGGGCCGAAGTAACAAAAAGGGTACTGAGCAAAAGCGGATCGAATCCGCGGCAAGAAGACACGAACAATTTTAAGGAACAGACTCTGACGAATCAGTCGAAATTAGAAGTCCAACCACATGGAATAGTTATTTTGAAAATAAATTTGAATAGGTCATAGAAAATACAACTAGATGGCGTCAACCGTCGAATAATTCGAAGGATCCCGCAACCAGTTGGTATTTCTCCAGAGGTAAGAGGAGAACAGTGACGCATGCCTGGGACTCCATAGAAAAGATTGGGGAGCCCCAGTCCGATAGCGTCGAATCATTAATTTTCGAAGAAGATACAAGAACTTCAACAGGAGACCATAGGCTAACCGATAGTGAATTTACGGCTATATTAGTACTAAAGATTAAGATACGTTGACGGTCAACCTGTCAACCTGTGTTAAGTCAACCGTTGACCTAACACTTGCGATGGGCACTGCATGTTTCGGAGTTAAATCTGAAATTTCGTCAATTATACCGTTTTATTCTACGGAAAAACACCTTTTAAATGTACACTGACCAAAAATATACACATTTTTTCTTATCTCAATCAATTATTAAATATAGTCGAATAAGAGAAGAAGCACTAAAAATATGGGTACTCTCGAATTACCTCCCAAATTCAGGTAGGTGACCTTATTTCACTGAAATTTCCTCCAGTTGTTTTCGGAGGCAATTCGAGTATACTCAAACTGTCCACTCGAATTATCTCCCATAGCATACCTAGATTATTAATCGATATATCGATAGTTGATGTGTTTTATCGATTATTACATAGATTATTAGGTACATTGAAAATTTCAATATTTAAAAGGATTAGCAAATAAATTTAAACCTCGGAAACATAAACGCAACTAATTTAAATTTAAATTTTTGACTATAAAACATATTGATATTTATTTATTGATCGTTTACTTTTTTATTATTATTATTAATTAATTATTAATACAGTATTGATACTGTAAAACATAATGCTATTTCATCTAAATTATTTTTTTTTTTATCGATTTTTGATACGTGAAATTTTGAAAATTACAGTGAAATTACAGTACATATATCTATTTGCTTTTTTAACATCGACTTATTACCTAATACTGTGTAGTGTGTACTAATGTCTACTAATGACAAGTGTACTAATGTTGTGTATTTAATACCTATGTATATTGTATAATTGTTTTTAGTTTTGAAAAAATCTAAATAGAAATCGATTCCGATACAAGAAAGTCACTACCTAAAATAGGAGGCAATTCGAGTAACCTTTTTAAAAAAAAATTCACAGGAGGCAATTCGTGCGCGCCCCCTATATAAACTGCACACAGATAGCACAGAACATCTGCGTGAACCTAGACTTTATCCTTGTAAACAACTGTACTCGGAAGGGAAAATATGAACTGTATACAAATTGTACTACAGAAATAAATATTACATTACGTACTTCAAATTAAATTAATACAACCAGTCATCTGTAGTTTGAAAATCTAATATTAAGCCAACCATCCAATTATTGGTGTAAGTCTATTTGAAAATTCATATAAAAAAAAAAAAATCGTCAACAGTTTGTAGACTTTAAATTGTTAGTAAAGAAATGGTTATTGTAGACGCTGAACGATCTCTGTGAATTGGTTTTTGTCGATAATATAAAATATAAATTGTATCATTTATTTATTATTATATTCTAGGTAGGTATAATATGTACCCGTTATTAAACTCTAATACGTTTCCATGTACCTATCGCAATTAATCGTTGTTGCCTACAGTAATTTTTTGGGGGGTATTTCTTTGCCTGTGACAACCAATGTAATTAATAATAACGGTTTTTTTTTTCATCCGTATCGCCAAGGTAACCCATAAATCAAGAAAAATAATTCGATTTTCGTACTAAAAAAGATAACAATCTAGTTTCACCCACCCCCTCCCCCTTTTTTTGGGCTTGAATACCGGGATACAAACCTACGTGTTATTCCTGATCCAGAAATACGCCTATGAAAAATTTCACTTCAAACCGTTCAGTAATTTGGGCGAGTGGTGGTAACTACGCACGTCCATACATCCAAACACGCTTTCAAATGCACAACATTATAACTGAAATAGGATGCTACCTAGGATTTTTTTAAATTTCTTTACTTCTCTAAACGCCCTGGACTGTATCAAGACAAGGATTGCATTCTTAGCGATAAATGATACAGTAAGTCTGTAAAATGGTATAAATGCGTAAATTTGTAAAAATCAATATTGCTAAATATAATATACTATTGTATCATTATATAGAAAAGTTAACTTGGTACATTTTACGATAAAACGTAAACGTACGTTAATTTTACCCGTGATTTTTTAAATAAATGTGTTTTTAATAAAATAACGGATTGAATTATAAGTCAAATTAATTTTACGAAAAACTAAGCGAATCAAAACCCTGCAACTGCATTATACGTACAAATGTATAATAGGTACCTGCCTATCTCATTTCAGGCGCTACCAATAATATTATTTTATCAATACTAATACCTTGGTTTGGTTGAATGGTTATAATTTTGAAAGTTTCTGTTGAAAATAACGCAACATTACAATATATTAAGATTATTATTTTATAGAGACGGTCGGAATTTTACCTAGTCATCTAGTTATATTTTAATTATCTTTGTCATTATATTCTCGATTATATTTTAAGTCGATGTTATAAAATCAAAATTAAAAAAAATAAATGAAAATATTTGGCACGATGGCTGGGCCACTGTTGTAGGTGAGGAGTTAAGTAAATAGAGATGAAATTTAATGCAATCTGTACGTAAAGATAGATCATTGACAACGAAAAACGATTTGAGTTTTGGTTACTCAAGCGGAGTTCGGTTACACATATTTTGGAAGATCGATTTGAAAATAATACGTTTCGTGAATTTTCCCGTCTTTCCCGAATTTTCCAATTATAAGGGAAATCCCTGATGAGAAAAAACAGACTTTCCTTTAGTACCGCCTGGTCAGGTTTCTTTTCAGAAAAAGTGCTACACTTAAAAATCGGAGTAAAATACAAGTATGGAAAAGTTGTTCACGGAAAAAAAAAATAAACATCACTGTAAAACCAATACATTCCTCGCTCCGCTCAGAATCGAATATCAAAATCAAAAGAAAACTGTTGGACGTTTATTTTATTTTCACCTCGTGAAATGCTTTTTCGTAGAATATTAAAAAGAGAGAATATAATATACCTAATAATTACCTATAATAATATACATATTACTTACATAAGCCAAGAATGGAGACGATTTTTTTTTTTTTTTTCAGATTAATTGTTGACGATTTGACGGCCGAATGAAAAAAAACACGTGCTACAAAAAATCAAAATATGCAATTGAAAAATTTAAAAATAAGATTGAGCATCAGAAAAATAGACACTGTTGTAACCATGGATTTGGAAAACGTTTTATTGTGTAAAAAACTTATTTTTTTTTCCAAACAAACATTCAAGTCTATAACGCTGTACTATCAGTGGCGGCTCGTGCTGTGGTGCACGGGACCAGTGCACCACCTACAATTTCGAAAACTACCTATACATTGCTGTTTTACTACAGCCGAAAAAAAAAAATATTATTAATTAATAAAATGCATATACACACACACACACACACACATATATATATATATATGTAATGATAGAAATGCATTCACGTTTATTTTGGAGACAAGGATAAAAATCATCGTGTAGAGTTAAAGAAATATTTAACGCGAAACGTGTAGAAAAACGAATGTTGTAGGCATGTCGTTGTACAGAACACGCGGCGCCCGCAGCGGCATCGGCCACGGAGTACGGACGGGCAAATACAAGTTTTGCACCAGCCGCGCGCGCGCATTCGACCTGTGCGCTCCAACTAATGGCACAGTTACCATTAGACTTGTGGTGTGTTGGTGGCACGAACGAGTATTGTACCTCGGTGCTGCTGACGGCGAACATCAAACAATTAAAAATCGATTATTTCTTTCGAATAATATTCAACTTGTCCGGCGGGCCGCGTTATCTCGAAAAATACTCCGTAGAAAATACTGACCGACCCGGTTTACATTCAATCCATAAATAATATTATTTAATAAAACGTAACGAAAACAAACATAATTCCCGAATACATTGTAGATTCCTATCTAAAAACCTCCTATAAAAAAAAAATACAAATGTATTCATAATTCAATAAAATATTTGTTTTAGTTTCTGTTTTCTGAACTGCCTGTACTAATCGTATACAAATTTTCAAACGTGCACCACCAATTATTCCACCCGCGAGCCGTCACATACATACAGAGCCAAATACTATACAGAGTGTCCCACGAAGATTGTAATACGATAAAGATAATCAAATTCTATTGTTTTTTTTTTTTTTTTTTTTTTTTTTTTACATATACTACTGCAGTTGTTTACAAACAGAAAAAAAAAACATAATCATCAAAGTAAAGCCAATACAATCTTCGTTTCGCTCAGAATCTAAAACGTTTCGATCCATGTATTATATCAATGAATATTTATTTAAACATTCATATTATCGAATATATATTTGTTCAAACAAATCAAAAAATAAATAAATTTAAACGAATGCATACAGAGTGATCTATTTAAGTGTCCGCACATCGAAAAATATTGACAATTTTTTTTTTTTTAATATACACAAGCGGATCTAAACATTATTTTTTGTTACCCTTATTTTTGATACTATTTACTTACTTTTGACCTTCAAATAGCAACCTACATTGGAAATTCCTTAAATACACCAGTATATAGTATTATAGTTTAAATAAATTTTTGATTTCCGTCAACCCGTTGACGAGTTATTTCACTAGTTGGGCTAGTTAGTGCGCCACTATACATATGATTCTCCACTGCTCTTCCCCTACCCGAACTTAAAAGTGGAACGTTTTGAAAATTAGTCCAATAATTAGTATGTTTAGTGCAAACAACCAGCAAACACGTTCTTTCTTTATATAAAAGCACCCATAAATATAAATAAACCAAAAAAAAAAATTGATATAACAACGAATACACTCCGAAATCTTTGTGAAAATACGGCTACGCAAAAAAACTTAAGCTTTAAAAGTCATCATCTATTTACGATCTAGTCTGTAAGTCATTATATTTACAATTGCGAAGTATAGTGACAGCCATAAATATATCACAGCTTTTAGGTGCCCCCTGTTTTTTTTATTTGTTTATTAGTTATTTTTATGTATTCTGTCGTTCAACAAATTATAGTAACTTATATAAAAAAAATGATAAGTGCACCCCCCTCGATAAAAAAAAAAAAAAATATTGGCTACGGTAGTCTGTATTACAACGTTGTGACCAAATACAATAATAATACACATTTAATTTATATCACAAATAAAACTCACATTAAAAACTTACAAACATATTTCGGGAGGAAGGGGGTCACAACCAACAACCCCCCCCTCGCTATTTGCGTCACTATATTTTATCAATATTATCAATAATATTATTTTCAAAATTAATTAAAAATAATATAGTAAGATTTCTAATACACTGTTTAATAATATTATGAGTAAATTATAATTAAAATGTTATTATATAATTTTGAAAAAAATAATATTTCTGTTACGAACTAATAGTAATACAGTTATATTTAATATCTATTACTGCAATAATACTACAAATACTATGCAAATAAAATAATATTCTATTATTTTAATAATAATATAATAGTATTATTTAGTAACATTACAAATTTGCTATCTGGGAAACAAACCAATAACGATTAAGCCAAACAAAAATGCTTGGAAATTAAAATATAAGTAGGTAGTTTGTAGTAAAATCAAAAAAAATAGTGAGTGTAATAGACAATTTCTTTTGTAACAATTTTAATATCAGATATTGACGAAAATCGAAAATATAACGGCCATTCGAAAAATGTTATAATCGAACTCCCCTCGGAATCGTTTNATATCCTACCACACCTACCAGCGGCCGTTTGCTTGCAGTCAATTATTTACGATCAATTGACGTAAATTAATAAAAAGAAATAAGTAATTGACTCGAGATATTAAATATTCTATAAATAGCTCAAAATTAGCACAAATGTATTGAAAACTTCACCTTGTCTAAAAAATTGAAATATAAGTTCGTAGCTAAATTATAAGTATCCACGAATTTTTTTTTTACTGAATAAAGTCAAAAATAACAAAGTCAATAGAATAAAAAAAAAAAAATTGTATTCATACATTCTCCCGTTTATCCTCGGATAATTTCATATAATTATAAAAGCTACTTGGAAAATCAAAAAGATACCTATACAGGATTCCTAATAGAAGAAGTACTACAATTCATACATCGGAAAAGGTTTTCTGGTAAAAAAAATAAATAAACAACATACTGATTTTCATTGTAAAACTAATAATTTCATCGATACACTCAAAAACTAAAAATATTAAATAATCTTTTAAACATTCATATAATCATATTAATCGACTCAGTATTATTATCATATTGATGTATTGGAAGGTACCTATTTGATTACTACGTAGGCATACGTATATAACGAATAATACTATTGTTAACATGACACACGATTAAACCGCTTTCATATTTAAACCGTAATAAGTATTGTTAATGTCGAATACAATGTATCAAAACAATGAAATCATGTAATAATAGCTAATACGTACTTAAAGGATATCTTAAGTCCTGTATAATGTCAGGAGATAATATACGGAGCAACAATCACGAGTCTTTATTTCGACCTATAAAAGAGGGTTAACTGGTTTACATTTGTTCAGTGCTCCCATCAAGTACGGTACAACTTCATGCGTTCGGTGGCGAAAAAATAATTTTAAAAATAAACCAATAATATTTCTAGTCGCCCACGGTGCGTTCGACATGTACAAAATCGTATTCATCTTGGCGGTGTTCACCTATGCGGCTCAAGTAGCATTCGGCGTCCCCACGACCGACAACAAAATGGTAAATATTATTCACAATTATCACAACGATTATGTTTAATCTCTGACACTCTCGATTTGAGTAGCGATATTATTTCATGTTAATGTTTACTGGGTGGTGTTTACAATAAAAGGCCTTTCCTTTTTTTGTAGTTTTGTATTTATATAAATATATGAATGGGAAAAATCGGAAGATTTATTCTTGAAATATATTCACGCTATTAATGTTCAAAATATTTTTTAAATTTTCTCGGTTTAATATAATAAATGCATAGCAAATTGCCGAAAACGAAAACTTGTAAATAAAAAGAAAATTTGTATTTCTTTTGCATTGGCTATACAAAATATATTTTGTACTTTCCTTTTAACGTAATTATCTAGTCATATAATTAATAATTCTCGAATTTTAAAAATTTATCATTAGGCTTTTTTAGTTTTTAAATAACCAAAAGTTTAAAATAATGATGAGCTTGTTTTCTGCTAATAGGTGGCAATTTGTCGAAGGCGAAAACTTATGTGCCAAGACTTACCGGGCGCAATAGCTTTAGGAAATACACCAGTCACCAATTTTGAACAAACGGCGGCACACGCGATCCAGCTGCTATTAGATGGGGCACAGGCCTCAAAGAGTGAAATAAGTGAAGCAAATACGATTCAAGGTGTCCCCATCACCTACAGCCAATATGTAACTATTGCAATTTTTTCACGTATTTAACCAAAAATTTGTTTTTCTTTTGCATTGATTATACATAATATGTTTTTACTTTTCTTTTAACGCACTTATCTAGTCATATAATAAATAATTATCGAATTATATACATTTATCTTTAAGATATTTGAAGTTTTAAAAAATCAATAATTTTGAAAATAATGAAGAGCTTGTAATTGTTATCTGCTTATAGGTTGCAAATTGTCGAAAACGAAAACTTATGTGCGACTTACCGGCCGCAATAGCTTTAGGATTTAAACCTGACACGAATGTTGAACAAACTGCATCACAAATGATCCAGATGCCATTAGAAAAAGAACAAGCCGCCAATGTTGAATTAAATGAAGCACAAGCATTTCAAGGTGTCCCCATGACCTACAGTGAATATGTAACTATTGCAACATTTTCACGTATTTAACCAAAAATTTGTTTTTCTTTTGCATTGATTATACATAATATGTTTTTAATTTTCTTTTAACGCACTTATCTAGTCATATAATAAATAATTATCGAATTATATACATTTATCTTTAAGATATTTGAAGTTTTAAAAAATCAATAATTTTGAAAATAATGAAGAGCTTGTAATTGTTATCTGCTTATAGGTGGCTAATTGTCGAAAACGAAAACTTATGTGCGACTTACCGGCCGCAATAGCTTTAGGATTTAAACCTGACACGAATGTTGAACAAACTGCATCACAAATGATCCAGATGCCATTAGAAAAAGAACAAGCCGCCAATGTTGAATTAACTGAAGCACAAGCATTTCAAGGTGTCCCCATGACCTACAGTGAATATGTAACTATTGCAACAGTTTCACGTATTTAACCATAAATGTGTTTTTATTTTGCATTGGCTTTACGTAATATATTTTGTACCTTACTTTTAACTTACTTATCTATTCATATAATAAATAATTCTCGAATTTTAAAAATTTATCGTTAGGCTTTTTTAGTTTTTAAATAACCAAAAGTTTAAAATATTGAAGAGCTTGTTTTCTTCTTATAGGTGGCAGTTTGTCGAAAGCGAAAACTTATGTGCCAAGACTTACCGGGCGCAATAGCTTTAGGAAATATACCCGTCACCGATTTTGAAAAAACGGCGNTATACCCGCCACCAATTTTGAACAAACTGCGGCACACGCGATCCAGCTGCTATTAGAAGGGGCACAGGCCTCAAACAGTGAAATAACCGGAGCACAAGCAATGCAAGGTGTTCCCGCGACCGAAGCCAAAATGGTAAAAATTAGGTTTACAATTGGAAGAATTTTCATACTATATAAATTAATATTATATTGAAAATATCTTTTAATTTTTCTCGGTTTAAAAATTGAAATGCATAGCATGCTTAAAACAAAAACTCGTACAAGAACACTCTCCAATAGCAGCAGCTTTAAAAGATAAACTGGCCGTTAACGATGAACTAGCAACAAAAACCAGCGACGCCTAGACTTCGACAATTTTAGTCGAACTTCTAAAAATTTACCGGATGGATATACATGATTTAATTATTTTATAGCTTTAGTTTAACTATATATTTGTCAAAAATAAATAAATACATATTACATATTATTTACTCTAAAACATAAACGTATTTTATATTATTTTATTATTATATATTATATTTATACTACAAACGTCTATAATATAATTTGTAGTATTATACCGGTGCTTTGGTCAAAATAGGCCACTTTTTGGTGAAAATAAGTTTTATGGCCAATCATATAAACTTTAATGTACTTTTTCTAATGATAAAAGTGCGTATCTCGAATATATTTTTTTTGAGATTTATATTTTTTGAGACCAATGTCGTTACAAAATTACTGTTGCAATAACCAAAAATGTGTTTATTCCTTATTTCCGAAAATTAATTAAAAGTGTGATTGGCCCTTATTGATCCAAGCCCCAGAATTAGTAGTAGTATTAATTTCTTTCGATTACACCAAACAAGTTTTTACTTGTATTTGTATTAATAATCTTTATTATCATTGAATAGTATATTAGTACATTATTATTTTAATTTGATGATAATTTTATCTTTTCGAAAAAATAAATATTTTCATTCCAAATAAAAAATATCGCAATCGTATTTTAATGTTATATTCAATTTATTTATTAGTTATTATTGTCGTCTCTCGTATGACCTTTAATGCAATATGAATTTTAAATATAAGAATAATAGATCAGATATAAATTAAAATAAATGACTAATTTATAAAGCAAATGTAGTATAATAATATCATAAATTAACAATTAAACTGGTTTTTCTGAATGATCATATTTCGATGAAGTATTGACATCAAAAAAAACCAATTACCTATAACTGCTTTGCTTGTTGCTGCATGAAAACCTGTAAAAAATAAAAAAAAACTGTTTAAATACTTTCATTTTACCGCTAAGGTCAACTTATAATGAGCCTGATATGAGTTTGGGAACTTCTCTGTAGGGCCAATATATATTATCAACATGATATCCATCAAATAAAAACTAAAAATACTAGAAAATGTAAAATACCGATAAAAACCTCAAAAGTCGCAAGAATGTTTCAAAAATTCTAACACGTCTAGAAAATATACTTCACGTATATTCAAGTTTTTGTCCTATTTTTAAGAACACCATACAAAAAACAAAAATTGACGAATCATGACTGACAATTTTTGTCAGAAAATGTAGTTTGGAGCCGGATTTATGATAAAAAAATGAAGTTATAAAACTTAAATTATAATGAAACAGTTTTTAGTATTTGTCAGTATTTCTAAATCTTTATTTTTGGTTTTTCCAAATTATTAAAAAATTGAAACCTTACCCCAATGCATCAACAAGATTCAAAATTCAACAAAAAACGGTTAGTTTTCATTTTTCGATTGAAGCGAGATTTCCGGCAATTAGAAAAGTTATTTACTGTCGTAAAAGTAAAAAATATAAGAAACCCTAATTCGCATAAAACCAAACCAATCGCTGTTACACGCAGAACCTAAAATCAAATAGGTACGCGTAATAAATTGCTTAGAATCCTATTTTCAAATGGAAAAGACGCAAAGAACGACTAATCGACGTTTAAAAAATGTATACGTGCTTCAAAAGAAAAAACAAAAACATTATCTGTCCTTTTCTTTTCAACTAGTTATCATATTCCAACATAAAGATATGAATTATCTTATACAATTTAAGCCTCGACAGGTTTAATAGAGTTAAAAGTCGATTTTATTCATAAAACATTTTAGATCAAATGTTAAATAATAAATGTCGTGTCGGATAGTTACACTAATATTTTGATTCAACAAAACAAATCGTACCTATATTATTTTAAATATTCAAACAAATATAAAAAGAAAATAATTAAATATCTCCATAATCGTATTAATCGACTAAGAACTATATTATATTAACAATAATATTGACGTTTTGATAGTTTTAAACTATCTATGTAAACGTCAACATGGCGCGAGATAAACCGTTTTTAAATTAAACCGACTTTTTAAAGAATCTACCTAACTTAACAAGCATATTGTTCACATGGTAAACTTTTAAACCGCTTTAAATTTTAAACCGTATTAAATATTGTTATTGTCGAATGCAGTGTATAGAAATAATACGATACTGTAATAATAGCTGTGTACGTACTTGAAGTGTATCTTAATTCCTGTATTACGTCAAGAGATAATATACGGAGGGTCAATCGCGAGTCTTTATTTAGACGATAAAAGAGGGTTAACCGGTTTACATTTGTTCAGTGCCCCTATTAAGTTCGGTAACACTTCAAGCATTCGCTGGTAAAAAAAATGATTTCAAAAAAAAAACCATAATAATTTTAGTTGTGACCAAATACAAGAATAATACACATTTAATTTAACACACAAAAAAATCTCACATTAAAACTTACAAACATATTTCGGGGGAGGGGGTCACAACCATCAACCCCCTACCCGCTATTTGCGTCACTATATTTTATCAATAATATTTTTTTCGAAATTAATTAAAAATAGTACAACGATTTTTTTTATACAGTTATAAATAATAATATATTCTGAGGTTATAGCTAATTATTATAATTATACTGAAACCATATGGTTTAATTGATAAATATTATTTTCAAAATTAATTAAAAATAATATAGTAAGATTTCTAATACACTGTTTAATAATATTATGAGTAAATTATAATTAAAATGTTATTATATAATTTTGAAAAAAATAATATTTCTGTTACGAACTAATAGTAATACAGTTATATTTAATATCTATTACTGCAATAATACTACAAATACTATGCAAATAAAATAATATTCTATTATTTTAATAATAATATAATAGTATTATTTAGTAACGTTACAAATTTGCTATCTGGGAAACAAACCAATAACGATTAAGCCAAACAAAAATGCTTGGAAATTTAAATATAAGTAGGTAGTTTGTAGTAAAATAAAAAAAAATAGTGAGTGTAATAGACAATTTCTTTTGTAACAATTTTAATATCAGATATTGACGAAAATCGAAAATATAACGGCCATTCGAAAAATGTTATAATCGAACTCCCCTCGGAATCGTTTTTTTTTTTTTTAAAAATGACTAGTAGTAACGTACAACTATACATTTTATTCTCCATCTATATCCTACCACACCTACCAGCGGCCGTTTGCTTGCAGTCAATTATTTACGATCAATTGACGTAAATTAATAAAAAGAAATAAGTAATTGACTCGAGATATTAAATATTCTATAAATAGCTCAAAATTAGCACAAATGTATTGAAAACTTCACCTTGTCTAAAAAATTGAAATATAAGTTCGTAGCTAAATTATAGGTATCCACGAATTTTTTTTTTACTGAATAAAGTCAAAAATAACAAATTCAATAGAATAAAAAAAAAAAAATTGTATTCATACATTCTCCCGTTTATCCTCGGATAATTTCATATAATTATAAAAGCTACTTGGAAAATCAAAAAGATACCTATACAGGATTCCTAATAGAAGAAGTACTACAATTCATACATCGGAAAAGGTTTTCTGGTAAAAAAAATAAATAAACAACATACTGATTTTCATTGTAAAACTAATAATTTCATCGATACACTCAGAAACTAAAAATATTGAATATTCTTTTAAACATTCATATAATCATATTAATCGACTCAGTATTATTATCATATTGATCCATTGGAAGGTACCTATTTGATTACTACGTAGGCATACGTATATAACGAATAATACTATTGTTAACCTAACGCACAATTAAACCG